AACTGTTTCAAAGATACCACTGTTCAAGAGAAGCAATTCTAAGATTTCCTCTTTGTTACCATGAGTGGATTTAGTCATTTAAATTCCCACCGGCAATAGCAATATAGTCCGTTGCAAATTTTTGTTTTTATGTCAGGATTAAAATAGGTTACAATGAATCATTATAACAGGCTACAATGAACCATTATAATAGACTACAATGAATAGACTGTATCCTACCCATCCTATAGAGTATGTTCAGCCTCATTTTTCCAAGTTCCTTCCTTCCTTCCTTCCTTCCTTCCTTCCTTCCTTCCTTCCTTCCTTCCTTCCTTCCTTCCTTCCTTCCTCCTCCCTTCCCCCCTCCCTCCCCCTTCCTTCCCTCCTTCCTTCCTTCCTTCCTTCCTTCCTTCCTCCCTCCCTCCCTCCCTCCCTTCCTTCTTTCTTTTTTTCTGTTAGCACTGAGATCAGTAGAAATGTCTGAGACTTAAGAAGGAAACTGAACATCATTATCCCTCTGTTCTCTAACTTACCCTTTTATCCCTAGGAGTTTTGGAATGGCATCTTTTTTTTTTTAATTTTGACCTAAGGAGTATATTAAGTAATATATGATGACACAATGAAATACGCTTGTTGATGTGGATTTTTGAAGTACCATTCTATGCTTAAAAAAAAAAAATACCGTCTTGGGGCTGGGAAATTGGCTCAGTGGTAGAGTGCTCGCCTTGCAAGCTTAAAGCCCTGGGTTCGATTCCTCAGCACCACATAAGCAGAAAAAAAAAAGCTGGAAGTGGCGCTGTGGCTCAAGTGGTAGAGCACTAGCCTTGAGCTGAAGAGCTGAGGGACAGTGCCCAGGCCCAGAGTTCAGACCCCACAACTGGACCCAAAAAAAAAAAATACCCTCTTGTCTAGGCGCTGGTGAGTCTTACCTGAAATCCTAGCTATTCAACAGCCTGAGATCTGAGGATCATGGTTCTGGTTTGAAGCCAAACCAGGCAGAAAAGCCCATTAGATTGTTATTTCCAATTAATTACATCCCCCCCCAAAAAAAGAAGCCACAAGTGGTGCTGTGGTTCAAGTGGTAGAGTGCTAGCCTTGAGCAAAAAAAGCTCAGGAACAGTGCCCAGGCCCTGAGTTCAAGTTCCAGGACTGACAGAAAAACAGTAACAACAAAATAAGTGATGAGCACATTCTTTCTGACTGCACACGAGAGGATAGAGAGGTGTGCACATACTTTGTTGTTTCAAGAACAAGGCTTTCTCGATTGAATATGGTGTTGGTCTTCACAATATTGCAAGTGAAATATGTTAATTTTTTAAATTGCCTTTCTTTGGTCGGGAGGCCTAACAGCGGTACAGAATATACTTGCCGTGTACAAAGCTCTGACTTCAATTCATGGAACCCCAGGACGCATTTCCATTAAAAGAAAAATAGAGTGTTGCAGCCAAATGGTTTAAAACCCAAAAGATACATGACTTCCTATTCGATGCAATATGTTATTCAATACAGTATGCTGATCGCAATCATCTGCCTTATGTTACTGGATCTTAGAACATAGGAATTAGTTGATTAGCAGGGATGGAACAGTTACTGGGTGAAACTGGGTTTCCTTTGGTTTTTAGAGTCGCTCTTAGACGCCACTGGAGGAAAGCACATGGTCATCCAATCATGAGTCCCCTCTGGAATGCCTATGAGATCGTGAGAAGGAGAAGGAAAGGTAATTAAGGGCTACAACATCTGTCCAGTGAAGCCTTTGGCTATTTCTTGGAGTTAATTCCCATTTTCTGCACGGAACAAGGTTTATACTTGAAACAAAACCCACAGGTACTCTTAGGAAACGATTCCAGGGTCTTATTAGTTTATGTAGCATTAGCATAGATACAAATAAAAAGTGTTTGTGTTTTTCACGACCTGTAGCCAGGCAACCAGGAATTTGATTAGAATCTGCAGTTTGCTTGATTCTTTCTTGTTGTCCTGCAGGGTTCCACCCACAGGGTGTGGGAGTCTGCAGGCTTCCCGCAGCACGCAGCACAGGTGCCCCTCGGCTTTCCCTTCCGCATTTCTCTACCTACCACTCATTTTAAACAGCCACAGCGCTTTAAAGGGGCTACTTGGTAGGCAGTCTCTCGTCAGCCCAATCCTGTGCTGTACTTCGTAAGTTTTTCTGGGTCCATATTATGTTGAAATATCCCGGAGAACCAAGTTTTAGGAGAATTTAGTGTTGCACAAAAATATGGGTGCTTGATTTCTAGTGTGTGGTGTCATGAGAAACGTCAGCACTACAGAAAGACGTAAGATCCAGTGGTCAGATATTCTTGAGTTAAGAGTTGAGAGTTTAGGGCATGGAGTAAGAATTAACTGTCCTCTCTCCCTCCTTCTTCCTTCCTGTTTGAAGAACCACGGTTGAACACACAGTCCAGGCAGTTGCTCTAGCACTTCTTGCTCTTCTGCACTGGTTGGATGTGAGGCAGGGTCTCAGTTTATGCCCGGGCTGGGCTTGACTGCAATGCCCTGGCCACTGGAGATGACAGGCATGTGCTACGCTGCCCGGCCGTCAGTTGAGATGGAATCATGCAAACCTTTTAATTTTTTTGCCTGAGTTGCCTCAAATCATGGTTCTGGACCTCCGCAGGTGCAAAAACAGGATCCTGGCCTAGGACTTCAGCTATAAGTGGTTAGGTTATTGCTCTCTATCCCTAAACTGACCATAAACGCAATAAATACTGGTATTTTAAAGGTAAGAACTATGTCTTCAGATCACATTTTAGAAGTGTCAGTAGGCATTTGAAGTCCTCCCATGTTTGGTCTCAAACAATCTAGTAAGTTGAAGACTAGTAGGAAATGGCTAATTTTATTTTACTAATTTTTTTTTTTACTATTTCAAAGGTTTCTGCTTAAATAATTTTCCTGACACTTGTTTTGGGGCTGATAGATAACAAGTCAGTGGAACGGTTCTTCCGCTGACTCACAGGGAGCCTGGGATGTCATCTGACTCATCTGCTTCTCCCATTAAGCGAATGTCATTATAAATGCACCCTAAGGTGCCCGTGAAATGCTTGAACGCATGGGTAAAAGCTGCCAGAAAATGACAAGTTTAGACAGTCTTATTTGAACATACAACAAAGTTTTATAAAACTTCAGATTTATATTTTATTAATTTCAATTCTTATATCGGATAAAAAAAATTCTTCCAAATGGAATAGCTCTTCTTTGCTTGCTTCCTTCTTCCCTCCCTCCCTTCCTCCCTCCCTCCCTTCTTCCTCCCTCTCTCCCTCTCTCCCTCCCTCCCTTCTTTCGCTTCCTTCCTTCCTTCCTCTTTCCCTCTCTTCCCTCCCTCCTCTCCCTCCTTCCTTTCTTTCTACTCTTTTTCTTTTTGTGGTGCTCAGGATTGAACCCAGGATTTTGTGCATGATTGGCAAGCACTCCACTACCTTGCTACAACACTAGCCCTCTTTTATTTTTATTTTTTTATTTTTGTGCCAGTCCTGCGATTTGAACTCAGGTCCTAGGCACTGTCCCTGAGCTTTTCTCCTCAAGCCTAGCAGTCTACCACTTGAGATCTAGCTCTACTTTTTTTTTAAACTAATTAATTAAGAGTCACATGGACTTTCTTGTCCAGCTGGCTTTGAACTGTGATCCTCAGATCTCAGCCTCCTGAGTAGCTAGGATGACAGGCGTGAGCCACCAGCACATGGTTTAATGTTTCATAGCATCTGTATGCTCTGATCATTCGACTGAATAGAAGAAATTGAAAGAAACATTTAGTGTTGGATTTAATTTAAAATTTTTTCCTAATTAAATTTAAAAAATCTAATACCCAGGGCCAACCATAAATTAAATTAATTTAATTAGTCGCTTATTTCACTTTGGCTAAATAGAATTAAACCTGCCTGCAGCATAATTGTCTAGGGTAACATCTATTAGTCTTCCAAACCTGTTTTGACTAGATAGGAAGTATTATGTGAGGTGTGAACGCAAAGGTTCTTTGCTGACAGCTTTAGAAACTCAACTCTGTCTTTCAGATTTACAGAAAAATTGAGAAGATGGTATAGATCCCATAGGCACTATCTCTAGTTTCTCCTATGATATATTGGCTAATATAGTTGAATCAATATTGATATATTATTAACCAGATCTCTGGTTTATTCAGGTATCTTGATTTTACTTAACATCCTTTGTTTATGTCCTAGGATTTCTTTAAACATACCCCAGTACACTTAGTTATTACATGTGCTCCAACCCACTTTGGGTAGACTTTTTTTTTGAGGAATACCCATCTGTTTGTAAAATGTGTCCCAATTCTGAGTTGTCTGAATTTGTTTTCAAGGTTAAGTGCTGTTTTCCTCAAATTGTGTGTGCCAGGTTGACATTTATCACCTGGTTGATCACTGTTCCTGCCAGCCTTGATTTCTTTCTTCTTAGATTGGATTTGGATGGAAGGCAGACCTGTCAGGGGCTGGCAAGTTGGTCTCCAGCCTTCCGGATGGAATGCCTACCTAAGTTATTTGGAATCTTTCTACGTGGGAGATTCCTCTCCTCTTCCTGATTTGTTTATGCAATAATTGGTTCAGATCAGAACATACACTGATTTTTATTTTATACATTAGTTTCTAACCCAACATGACCTCATTTTTGGTTCAAGTTGAGCTTTGATCAGTTGGATCCAATATTGCTTGGACATGCCTGATGATAGTTTTGTTTATTCATTGACTGGTTTTCCAACAACTAAAAACATTTTTACCCCACACAGTGCTCCCAGCTCAGCTGGAAATGGTTGACAACTTTAAGAACTATGTATCCTGCTTCTGGAAATGAGGGGAATTAATCATTGTAGCAAACCCTCATCTCCCAGCCAAACTATTGGATAATTTGTCACTATTTTTGTGTGCCTACAATTACAAGGGGTAATGGTGAAATTAATGCGAGTTGGATTAGGTTTTCTATCATTTCTGTAGCTTTAGTATATTACAATTATAATGGAATTTATAGTCATGACAAGGTCAGGGCAAGAACTTCACAAATTTTCTGAATCAAATATTTAAATATATTTAGGTATGCACACCACATCCAGGCGTGTTAAAGTTTCTTTAAATGTCATAGCTGCATCTCCTCAATTTGTAACACAATCATCAAAAGTTAAGAGAGCCAGGGCTCCTTGTCAGGCTGGGTCTCCAAAACTCCCAACTGGACCTTTATCAGCTAACAAGCCAGAACATTCCTGAAAACAGAGGGTAGATCCAGATTTTAGGGGCATGAAAAATACACAGAAATTAGGGCAAAATTAGGTTGTCACAGAAGCAAATGGGAAGCACTGAAGCTTAAGTTTAAGGTTTGATAGTTTCCTGGACAGCTGACATTTCTGAGGGAATTCATACGTGTAACATAATTTATGTAGGTATGATACCAAAAGCAGGTGTAAACCATGTGCGGGAGGGTTTTCAAACAAAACCAAAGTAAGAGAATCCTAGGAATACCTTTTCCATTTGGACTTCTGTCTCCAGCCTCCACTGTCGAATGTCACGGGTCAGACTGGACATGTGAACCTTGAATTATAAAAGAGGCAGTCAGAAACTCCTCGGCCCCAGCCATCCTTCCTTCCTGATGAGACTCCTTGGCTTAGTGAGGACGGGAATGCTCAACCTGCGGAGAAGAGAGGTTGCCCCCCTGGGCAGATCACGCCAGAGAGTCCTATCTGCCTGGAAGCATCTTCCCTGCACATGCTGTGTCCTCCTCTCCCCATCGGGCACAGCTCAGGCAGGAGTTTCTCTCTGGGTGGCAGGGCAATGTCAAAGCTGAAGGAAGACAGCTGGGCGGAAGTGAACGTGGTCCCTGCTGGTTCCTCATGTGTCTAAGAATGCACCTCTGAAAATGTAGAAGCTTGCTATTTATTTACGGAAACATTTTTGTTGGCTCTGATGGGTCCAGATGCTCAGTCAGTGCATCTGCGGCTTGTATGTCATTACTTAAAAAGAGAATCTCGGGGGGTGGGAAGGTGGCTCAATGGTAGAGTGCTTGCCTTGCATGCAGAGGTCCTGGGTTCGATTCCTCAGCACCACATAAGCAGAAAAAGCCAAAAGTGGTGCTGTGGCTCAAGGGGTAGAGTGCTAGCCTTAAGCTGAGGAGCTGAGGGACAGCACCCACGTTCAAGACCCACAACCGACAAAAAAAAAAAGAAAAAAGAAAAAAAGAGAATCTCACCCTAACAGAAAATTGGTAAAGAAACTTAGGAAGTTAAAAGTGAATCTATAGCTCGGTCTCTGTCTGTCTGTCTCTTTGGAACCCTGGTTTCAACTTCCTTCGGTGTTTCCCAGTGGCTGGGTTCTGTCTCCACTATCTGCAGAAGCTTCTGCTTGACTGAGATGTCAGACGCTGGGAAAGACAGTCAGTATGGCAGAAGGACAACTCAGTCTCTCATGGCACCCCTAGTAAGGTACACACATGCACACACACATAGTCTCAAAGGAAACAGGTGTGCAAGTTACCACAAAAAAAGTCAGTATAATTCAATCTGTGGATCTTGTTTTGTGAGTGAATTATGAAATCAGTCTAGTGGCTTATAAGAACAGCACAACTTTAGTGGAAGAAATAACGGAGAATAAAGAGTAAGTCCCACATGGCAAGGTTAAGTCTTCTTTTCTGAGAGCTTTATTTCAGTTCACATTAGCAGTGGATAAGCTGGTGGAAATCTGTGTCCATGGAGTGTGCATTCCAGAGGAAATAAACCATTCAAAAAATATAAATGATGCCAGGGGCTGGTGGCTCATATCTGTCATCCTAGCTACTCAGGAGGCTGAGATCTAAGGATCACGGTTCAAAACCAGGCACAGCAGGAAAGTCCCTGTGACTTTTGTCTCCAATTAGCCACTAGAAAACCGGAAGTGGCGCTGTGGCTCAAGTGGTAGAGCGCTCACCTTGAGCAGAAGAGCTGAGGGACAGCGCCTAGGCCCAGAGTTCAAGCCCCATGACCGATCAATTAAATAAATAATGCAGAAATATAAATGATACAGAAAAATACACATTGTGTTAGAAAAGGGCAAAGAGTTCTATGGCAAGGTATTTTTGGGTTAGAGACCTCAAAGAATTGATGTCTCTAAGAATAGCTATGTGGCTATTGGAGGATAATAGTCCAGAAAAAAACACAGGAGTATCCTGGCTGTTAGAAACAAAATCAGAGCCAGGCGCTGGTGGCTCACGCCTGTCAGCCCAGCTACTCAGGAGGCTGAGATCTGAGGATTGCGGTTCAAAGCCAGCCGGGGCAGTAAAGTCCATGAGACTCCTATCTCCAATAAACCACCAGAAAACTGGAAGTGGCGCTGTGGCTCAAGTGGTAGAGCGCTCGCCTTGAGCTGAAGAGCTGAGGGATAGTGCCCAGGCCCATAGTTCAAGCCACATGACTGACAAAAAAAAAGAAAAAGAAAAAGAAAATCAGGGCCAACAAGACTGTAGGGAGGGAAGGGAGGCACTGCAGAGGAGGGGGAGCCGGGGATGGGGCCGGGTGGCGTAAGGGCTTCCAGAGCAGGGGAGGCCGGGTTTCTCTCCCCAGTGAGCTGGGCAGGCACTGGGTGGTGTTGGGAGTTGAGTGACGTGAGCTGGCCCGCGTTTACACAGAGCTCCTTATGCGTTCCCAAATGAGTGTTTGCACGTGTGTGCACCTGATCATGACACCAAATGTGTTCCTCACGGTGAGTCCAGGCCAAGATGATCGAACGCTCTTCTCTTACTCTTAGTGAGTGGTGTCTGAGATCTCGGGAAGAGAGTTTTCTGAGAGCAGGCGTTGAGTAGAAGCTGGCTTTCCAGATGCCGTGCATTTGAGAAGTGTTCGTGCTGCATGGCTAAGCCTTGAGGCTCCCTCCAGGTGTGTTTGTGTGTGTGGAAGAAACAAAATGCAGAATTAGAGCCTTCACCAGCCACCGTTACTTTCTCTTTCTTATTTTGTACACTCATTTCTGGTGACATCTGCCCTACTGAGAAACAGCACAGAGTAGTTACTTTATTTAAGAACGCTTCCTGTGTTTTATTGTAGTAGTAGGAAAAGTCAATAAACCTAAAATCCATATGTAGCTTATTCTGTCTAAATGAGCAAGCAGGTTCATGACTCTCTGAGGTATTCCCCATGTTCTGAGGCTCTAGCTCTTTAAATGATTCAATGTTCAACACACAGCCTACAATTTTCCTGTGCAAGTGTTGGTGTGAGTTTTATCACCTACCCAAGGGACCAGTAATGTTTTTTCCTAACTTGGTGGAGCATTGCTAACACTGATATTTCCTTTTAGACTGAGTCTCATTCCGCTGCTCTGGTAATAAGGGAACTTCCTACTGGGTATGCATACACGCTCACCTGTGCTCACACACACATCTCATTCTCTCTCAGTGAATGCTCGCTTTGTGACTGATGTCTCTCTCTGAGAAACAACATTTTGAAAACATTTTGACAGGAAGGCTATAGCTAAGGCATTATGGCTCCTTTTTGTGTTCATGAGAATCCTGACCTTCAGAGATCGAAACAGCCTAAGATTACATTGCTAGTAAGGAGAGTACCTGGGTTCATTTGACTCTAAAAGTCGTACTTGTTCATCTATAATGTATTGCCTGAACAGGGAGAGAATGCCAGTAACAGTGATATTAAAGATTCATAGAATCCATTCACAGCATCAAGAACATCTGCAAGGTACTTGGGGATAAATTGTAAAGAAATGATGTATAAGCCCTTCAAAGAAGGTTCAACTACATTAAGATAAAATAACAAAATATAGTATGTTCTTGTGCAGTGTAATGCAAAGCAAAGCAAAGCAGTTTTAAGTGAATGGTTCAGGTCTGTAACCCCAGCTACTGCTACTTGAAATCTGGGCCTGGAGTTCTCACTTGGCTTTTTTTTTTTTTGGCTCCTGGATGGTGCCCTACCACTTGAGCCATGCCTCTAGTTTTGGCTTATTTCGGTTAGTTGGAGAGAAGAGAGTCGATCTGTCTGCTCCAACAGCCTTGGAGCTGAGATCCTCAGATCTCAGCCTCCTGAGTTTATAGGATTATAGGCCTTGAGCCACTAGTGCCTGGTTGATTTATCTTTTTATATCCTTAAGTATTTACCCCCAAAGAACTTAAATCTTTGTTCTTAAATCTTTGTCTAAAGAAACTAAGTGTCCCTTCATTTCCCATCTGCTCCACTGGTCGCAACTGCCAAGAAATGGTCTTGTAAAAATTACCCACACACAGGTTCAAAGTTGAGGTGACATTAACAAAATAAGCTACCTGCAGACAAGGAGATACAGTTCATAGTTATCAAGGAAAAACTTTACTTCCTCATAGCTATATTTTATCATTTAAGTCTATTTTATCATAAAAAATAACTTCAATATTAACACTGGTTTTATTAATAAGATACATTATAGGGTGGATGCACATGGAAAGGAAGCAGAAAGGGGAAGTCTGTGCCTACCATTTCCTATGCGGGGAGCAGGAAATGAATTGCTAAGGTCTGCAGAGTCTTGACATGCTGCCAGGACACAGGAATGAATTCTTAGTGGGCATGGGGCTTGGAGTTCCTTCTGAAGGGGCCCAGGACCCACTACCCATGGGGAGGCTGGGTGATTCACATCTGCACTTGGTGGCGGTATTTCAAACGCACCAAGACGTCCGGTTAACACTGGCATCAGCAGGCAGGCTTGGCATGGTGAGGGAGATCTGGGTTCTTTGCTTCCCTCTTCTGGCCAATTTCTTCTTTTCAGATTTCCTCAGAGAGAAGCTGTGATCTGGCGGGGAGCCAGCAATTCTAGGGTAGCCATGAGCTGTGCGGCCTCTCCACCTCTCTTCCTCAAGGTCTGAGGGGATGTCATTTCACACAAGGAGTTCACTAAGGCCCAATGGGGTCAGAAAGCCAAGAAGAGCTTTAGATGTTCTGTGGAAAGGAGAGATTCTGCTGGAGGGTGGAGGGAGGGACCCTCTCCCTGAGAGTCTAGCTCAAGTGACTTCAAGTTCAGGCAGACAAGCAAATGGGTAGGACACACAGGTTGAGGAGGGCCGGCCTGTGTGCGTTCAAATGAAGGTGAAGCACTCTGAACCTTGAGTGTGCCAAACCAAATACCACCAGGGAGAACACTCACCATGTGTGAGGAGAGAGGCCTGCAGTTCAAAGGCTTGGGTCCCCCTCAACGCCCAATCAGAGGAAGAGGGAGACAGATGGAACCTGCCCTGGGAGTCAGACCGCGGTTGGACTGGGAGGTTGACTGGCACATGGAACTCGTGATCTTTAAATTCCTCCGTGGAAGCTGATTTTAACTGGTTATTGCAGAAAGGTTGAGAAACATAAGAGCACTTTTGAACCACGGTCTGTTTCCAAAGCTGGTAGCCCAGCAGAGGACGCAGAGCTGCCATCTTTGGAAAGGGAACTGGGGTGGGAGGAGGCAGGAAGGTGGAGGCGGCCGGCGTTGGGCTGGAAGGGCCAGGACTTCAGAGCGGGGCTGACTTTTGGCTCTTCATCGTGATTTTTTTGGCTTGAAAAATTGTTTTTTTTTTTTTTTGTTGTTGGAAAAACTTGAAAAATTTGAATTTTAGCTAGCAAGTATTATAATTGGGGGCTCAAACAGAAAACCAGCTTCTTGCTTCAGACCCTCAGGATATGTCACATGGCTTAGTTTTTTACACATTAGGAACTTTCAGATATCAAATACTAATTTTGAAATATTAATATCAAACACTAATACTGAAACTCATTTCTAAACTTTTGAGTGTTATAGGCTATTTTGGATTTCTTACATTCATCATGGATTATATTGTGTTAGAATAATACTAGTTTGACTGAATACATACAAAGTATTAACTTGGGCTGGGAATGTAGCTCAGTGGTAGAGTGCTTGCCTAGCATACACAAGGCCCTAGGTTCGAGTCCTCAGTACCACATACACAGAAAAAGCAGTGACACTGTGGCTCACTGGTAGAGTGCTAGCCTTGAGCAAAAGAAGTAGAGCACTAGCCTTGAGCAAAAATCTCAGGGACAGTGCCCAGGCCTTGAGTACAAGCCTCAGAACTGGCAAGAAAAAAAGAAAAGTATTTCGACTATCAGCTTGTTTTACATAGTAGTTGTTGGCTACTGTATTTTTTTTTTTTTGTAGGAATGTATGTGTTTGTGTGTGTTTGTGTGTCGGTTGTGGGGCCTGAACTCTTGGCCTGGGCGCTGTCCTTCAGCTCTTGAGCTCAAGGATAGCACTCTACCACTTGAGCTACAGCACCACTTCCGGTGTTTTCTGCTTATGTGATGCTGAGGACTGGAACCCAGGGCCTGGTGCATGCGAGGCAAGCACTGTACCACTGAGCCACCTTCCCAGCTCTGTAGGAATGACTTTTAAACAAATTGGTTGAGACTTTAACTGTATACTTAAAAGTCAAAGTTAATTACTATCTGCTAATATGTTATCATATTAAGTTGTAATTCGGTGACTTGTATTCAAAAGCTATTATTTGAGTTCAAGAATGAATGATTTTGTTGTTGTTAGATGTGGGGCTTCAGCTCAGGGCCTGGGCACTGTCCCTGCGATTTTTTTTGTTCAAGGCTAGCACTCTACCACTTGAGCCACAGTGCCATGTCCAGTTTTCTGGTGGTTAACTGGAGATTAAGTCTCACAGACTTTGCTGCCCAGGCTGGCTTCAAACCACGATCCTCAGATCTCAGTCTCTAGGATTACAGGTGTGACCTGATGTGAGGCACATGTTTTTTTTTGTGTGTGTGTTTTAAACGTAAAACTGTACTTTGGGCTGGGATGTAGCTCCATGGTGAAGCACTTGCCTAGCAAGTGCAACCCCCTGGGTTTGAACCTCAGTACCAAAAAAGAAAAAAAAAGTTAAAAACATATATTTAGAAAAGAAACATGGTACTCAGAAGAAAAACATTTCAGCTTGTTATTCTCTGGGCTATTCTTAAACTCACCCACAGCTCTTCTAAAATAAAATAAATCATCCACCATATGGCCACATAGTAGCATTTCCAATGAATAGAGTCATTGTGTAGAATGTGTGTCTAGAACATAAAATGTGAAATTTCCCACAAGTGACTCCCACCCCGGAGCACTCATGCATTCCGGCTTCTGCTATTTGAACAGTATTTGAATACTTAGCTTGTTCTTGAACTTCCTCTTTTTTGGGTAAGAGCCACATCTGCATTTGCAATTTTGTGATTTTTAAAACTTCCTTCCGCAAGAAATTTAAAAATATTTCGGTTGCCTGTGCAGCATAACCATCAGCTGTTTGGGAACTTGAAAACCGAGTGAGGCTGGCGAGAAGCTGAAGCGCAGGCACTGTTTGGAGAGTCTGTGCGGGCATCTCTGGGTCACCCAGTGGCTGCGGCAGGAGCCGTGTTGAAGGCAGACCGGGTGAATCATCCAGTGTTGAATGGACTGGTGAAGGGAGGGCAGTTCGGGATGTAACTTGGTCATGAAATTACCCGATATTAAGCATGGCTGGCCCCGCCGCCCCATCGTGTTGTGTGGGGCCGAGGAGCCCTGAGGCCGGGCGGCCTGACACTCGGCCGAGCAGTAGGGAGGACCAAAGACGAGCACTGTGTTCTGTACCCGCGAGTCACAGCGTCCGCAACAACCCGCCGCGGCCGGCCGCCGGGCCTGCCGGCGGGCCCGACCACGGCCGGCCACCGGGCCTGCCGGCGGCTCCGACCACGGCCGGCTACCGGGCCTGCCGGCGGCTCCGACCACGGCTCCGACCACGGCCGGCCGCCGGGCCTGCCGGCGGCTCCGACCACGGCCGGCTGCCGGGCCTGCAGGGCATGCTGGCGGGTTCCCGGGCTCCCGGGCCTGCAGGGCGTGCTGGCGGGCTCCCGGGCCTGCAGGGCGTGCTGGCGGGCTCCCGGGCCTGCAGGGCGTGCTGGCGGGCTCCCGGGCCTGCAGGGCGTGCTGGCGGGCTCCCGGGCCTGCAGGGCGTGCTGGCGGGCTCCCGGGCCTGCAGGGCGTGCTGGCGGGCTCCCGGGCCTGCAGGGCGTGCTGGCGGGCTCCCGGGCCTGCAGGGCGTGCTGGCGGGCTCCCGGGCCTGCAGGGCGTGCTGGCGGGCTCCCGGGCCTGCAGGGCGTGCTGGCGGGCTCCCGGGCCTGCAGGGCGTGCTGGCGGGCTCCCGGGCCTGCAGGGCGTGCTGGCGGGCTCCCGGGCCTGCAGGGCGTGCTGGCGGGCCCCCGGGCTGGCGTGCTCCCGGGCCTGCAGGGCGTGCTGGCGGGCCCCCGGGCTGGCGTGCTCCCGGGCCTGCAGGGCGTGCTGGCGGCCCCCGGGCTCCCGGGCCTGCAGGGCGTGCTGGCGGGCCCCCGGGCTGGCGTGCTCCCGGGCCTGCAGGGCGTGCTGGCGGGTTCCCGGGCTACCGAGCCTGCAGGGCGTGCTGGCGGCCCCCGGGCTGCGGGCTCCCGGGCCTGCAGGGCGTGCTGGCGGGCCCCCGGGCTGGCGGGCTCCCGGGCTGCGGCCGGGCTCACTTCAGAGCGAGCTTCCAAGGTCTGACCCGCCTCACTCCATTTCTTCCCCGATCCTCCCCGCAGACTTCGGGCCTCTCCCGCCTGCCGGCAGGCTGGGCGCCGCGACCCGGCACCGGGCGGTCTCTCCGCGGAGGGCCGGGTCTCCCGGGGTGAACGTGGCACCTGCGGAGAGACCGGCGCGGGGGTGAGCTCCGGCCCGTGACCTCGGGGCCGCCCTGCCCGGGGGGTTCCGGGGTTCCCCCTCTGTTCTTCCCAGCGATCGCCCTCGGGGCCTCGGCACAGGCCGGGCCCAGCGCCTCCCTCGCTTCCCCGCCAGTCTAACGTCCGGGCAGCTCCCGGGCCCGGCTGGGGGGTGTCCGGCTGGGGGGGGCCCGGCTGGGGGGTGTCCGGCTGGGGGGGGCCCGGCTGGGGGGTGTCCGGCTGGGGTGTCCGGCTGGGGGGTGTCCGGCTGGGGGGGGCCCGGCTGGGGGGTGTCCGGCTGGGGGGGGCCCGGCTGGGGGGTCCAGCTGAGGGGTCTGGCTGGAGGGGGTGTCCGGCTGGGGGTGTCCGGCTGGGGTGTCCAGCTGGGGTGTCCGGCTGGGGGAGGGGTCTGGCTGGGGGGTGTCCGGCTGGGGGAGGGGGTGTCCGGCTGGGGGTGTCCGGCTGGGGGGTGTCCGGTTGGGGGTGTCCGGCTGGGGGGTCTGCCTGGGGGTGTCCGGCTGGGGCGTCCGGGTGGGGGTGTCCAGCTGGGGCGTCCGGCTGGGGTGTCCGGCTGGGGGTGTCCGGCTGGGGTGTCCGGCTGGGGGTGTCCGGCTGGGTGTGCCCGGCTGGGGGTGTCTGGCTGGGGGGGTCCGGCTGGGGGTCCCGGCTTCCCCCCGACCCCCGAGCCGGTCCTCCCGACGACCTCCCCCTCGGCCGGTCCGCGGGGCGGGCGCAGGCCGTTCCCGCCCACTTCCGGTGGCAGCGGACCCCGGCGGCCGCCGCTGGGAGCTCAGAGCGAGCGCTCGGGCCTGACTGTGACCCTCCCGGGCGGGAGCGTTCGTGCAAGGCACACCCACGGCGCTCTCCGCAACTCGCGCGCGAGGGAAACCGCGGCCAGCGCGGCGGCGGCGGGGACGCCGCGACCGGACTTCCGGCTGAGGCCCCGCCCGCGGCCCTCCGCGGGTCCGGACTTCCGGCCCCGGCGGGCCTCGACCGGGTCCGCTCCGCGGTGGGCGGTGCCGGGCCGAGGCCCCGCCCCTCCCGCGCGTGGCGCGCGTGGCGTGCGTGGCGTGCGCGCGGCGCGGGCGGCGGGTCGCTCGGCGCTGGCGCCCCCCGGCGGTCGCGGAGCCTCCCTGCCGGGCCATGGAGCCGCCGCGCCCCGGCGCGCGGCCTCCCGGGGCCGAGCGGACGGCGGCTCCTCAGGACGCGGAGGCGGCGGGCGCCTGCGCCGGCGCGGCCGGGCTGTGGGCGCTGCCGGCGGAGCCCGCGGAGCGGAGGCCGGAGTGCGGCCGCTGCGGGTGAGCGCGGGCGGGCGGCGGGACGCGGCGGCCCCTCACGGAGCCGCTCACCTGCGCCTGCGCGGCGGGGGGGGGCGGACGGCGGGACGCGGCGGCCCCTCACGGAGCCGCTCACCTGCGCCTGCGCGGCGGGGGGGGGGGGACGGCGGGGGGGCGGGCGGCGGGGGGGGGGGGACGGGGGAGCGGGGGGAGCGGCGGGGTGGGGGCGCACGCGAGACCCTCAAGAAACCAAACCCCAGCCGGGCGCCGGCGGCTCACGCCTGTCAGCCCAGCTCCTCAGGAGGCTGAGATCTGAGGATCGCGGTTCAAAGCCAGCCCGGGCAGGAAAGTCCCCGTGAGACTCCTATCTCCAATGAACCACCAGAAAGCCGGAAGTGGCGCTGTGGCTCAGGTGGTAGAGCGCTGGCCTCGAACAGTGAAGCTCAGGGATGGCGCCCAGGCCCAGAGTTCAAGCCCCATGACTGAATAAAAGAAAATAAAAAGACTGTATATAGCTTTTTAAAAAGCAATTCAGGGGCTGGGAAGGTGGCTCAGTGGTAGAGCGCTTGCCTCGCATGCCTGAGGCCCTGGGTTCGATTCCTCAACACCACATAAGCAAAAAGAAAAAGCCGGAAGTGGCGCTGTGGCTCAAGTGGTAGAGCGCTAGCCTTGAGCTGAAGAGCTGAGGGACAGCGCCCAGGCCCAGAGTTCAGATCCCACAACCAACAAAAAAAGTAATTCACACCCTATTTAACAAATACTTATATTAAAAAAATAACGGTAGCCTCCTCCTTGGTATGGTACGTATCTTGTTTTAACTTGGTAGCATACAGTTCTACCTAACATACAGTATTTTGTGGCTTTTTATAATTTATTTCATTCAGCTGCTGAATTTTATATTTGCTGGTAACTTTACATTTGTGCTTACAGGCTTTTTTTTTTTTTTTTTTTGGGTCCGGTCGTGGGGCCTGAACTCTGGGCCTGGGCGCTGTCCCTCAGCTCTTCAGCTCAAGGCTAGTGCTCTACCACTTGAGCTACAGCACCACTTCCGGCTTTTTTTTCTTTTTGCTTATGTGGTGCTGAGGAATCGAACCCAGGGCCTCAGGCATGCAAGGCAAGTGCTCTACCACTGAGCCACCTTCCCAGCTACAGGTTGTTTTTTGAGCTTATAGTTTTTAAAACGCATTCTTAGATTTGTGAGATCAGTAAGTTACAATTATTTGGCCATTTACTCGAACATTTTCTTGAACACATTAGTGTAATTGCTACTGCCTACAGAGTTTTAGAATTAGGTTTATTCAGGAAATGCAAACTCAATTTGACTTCTCAGGCCCAGGCCCAGGTACTTGATATTCTATATTTATTTTTATTGCAGTGCATTTCTAGAGTTGTTGATATTGGTTAGTTTTTTTTTTTTTTTGACTTTTATTGTAGCCCATAAATCAATTTCCTCCCTCCCCCCTCCCTCTCCCCCCTCCTCCCCTCCCCCCCTCCCTTCCTTCCTTCCTTCCTTCCTTTTTTTGTGCTGGTCCTGGGGCTTGAACTCAGGGCCTCAGTATTGTCCTTGAGCTTTTCTGCTCAAGTCTATCACTAGCACTTGAATACCAGTTCTACTTCTGGCTTTTTTGGTAGTTAATTGGAGATGAGTCTCATGAACTTCTCTGTCTGGACTGGCTTTGAACTGAGCTTTCAGATCTCAGCCTTCTGAGTAGTTAGGGTTACAGGTGTGAGTCATTCTGCCCAATTATGAATGTTTCATACCAGCCTTTAAATTAGTGGCAAAAAGCTAAGAATCAAAACTACTCTACAAAAATTCAGGTTTCTGCTGTTGAGAGTGGGAGATGTTTGGGGAGCTAGTGGCTTCTCAGCTGAGTTCTGGCTGTGTGTGTAGACAGCATGGTCTACAGGTCTGCACAGCTTGCAGTCATTCTGCTTAGCCCATGTGTGGTCAGCGCAGTGCATGTGCCAGCCTTGCACAAGTGCTGGTGTCTCCATCCGGGGTCACACGAATACCCTTGTGGCTGGTCTGAGTGATAACCAGTGTTGTAGGGAGGTGTGAAAAATGGTTCTTCTCAGGACAGTCAGTTTGGAACCGTTGTAACTGTTGAACTGGTGGCAACATTTAATATTATCACACAAACTTTCTGTAAACTTGAAATCAATCAATTATTGGGTATTTTTTAGAGTGAAAACTTAAGGATTCTGAAAATGACCTTTTTTTTGCATTTCAAGAATATATTCTTAAGAGAAAGATTTTAAGTTGTTCTTTCCTATTTAAAGAGAATGTTTCTTCTTTGAAGCACTTCACTCCTACCCGTGCAAAACTAAGTGATCTAAATCACTGTGCAGGCTGGTCATATGTTCAAAGTTGAGCATAGATGACAATGAGGGAAGTTTTCTTTAATCTCAAGTCTCCATTAGAATTTGTAGAACTTTCTAAATGTCTGGTTTATTTTCCCCAAGAAAAATATGATATTATAATCCTCTGATAGAAGTTTCTTCCAAGAACATCAAAGCACATTAATTCTGTAAGTTTATTTGCCCTAAATTAATAATTCACAGTTCTGGTCCTTATGGGTGTAGATAATATATTCAAGAAATCTTGTTTAAAATTTGTTATCTAAAGAGAATTCACAAGTTGCAAAGTACTTTTACTCGTATATTTTCATTTAATACGTAAGGTGGTCAGTGATTTTAAGTTGTGCTTTTTGCAGCATATCAAGGCCAGGTACTCTTAAGAGGCAGAGGTACTCTAGGTTTTCTGTTTTGCTACAACACATAATAATGAGCTATATAAACGATCAGTGTGACTGTCTTTATTTTTACTTGGCATACGGAAGTTCTTGAGACGCAGGGCAGTCATTTCTTTACACTTTTTAATCCATAGCTTGCTTTCCTTTTCCTTTTGCCAGACGATGTCTGCTTGTCTTGAGATGAGCAGTTTTAAGGACTGTTGTGTGTGAGGTCTCTCTCTTCAGAAACTTCCACCTGCTTGTGTTCAATCCTCATTCGCTTGGTGGCTCCTTAACTTTGCAGCTGGAAGAGAAGAGTTGAGGAAGCACTGCTAGGAATTGATGTTTCTCTTTACTGAGTTTATGTTACTTTTGAAAGCATATTGGAAAGATTGTGGGGGAGGCGGGAACAGTGCAGTGAAGTAAATGGAGAAAGGGATTTGGGACTCCTTTAAGGACAAGAAAATGAAGTGTGTTTCTAAAATTTAGTCTTAATCCTGTGCTGTGTACCATAGTAAAAAAAGCCAGGCATGGCAATGCATACCTTGGGAGGTGAGCAGGTAGAGTTTAAAGCCCAGTCTGGACTACCTAGTGAGACTCTGTCTCAAATAAACAAACAAATAGAAACTATGAAAAAGCAAGATAAAGCCATAAAGTCTCTAGGCCTACGTGGCTCACACCTGTACGGCCTAGCTACTCAGGAGGCTGAGATCTAAGGATATAGTTCCAAGTCAGAGACAGTTATCCCCAGTAAACTACTCAAAAGAACTGGAAGTGGCGCTGTGGCTCCAGTGGTAGAGCGCACCTTGAGCAAAAGAAGCTCAGGGACAGCACCCACATGCTGTTCAAGCCCCAGGACCAGAAAAACAACAACAAAAAACCCCACAAAGTTAAAAAATTCCAAAGGGGGAAACAAGTGAGTAGTGCATATTGTGGATATAGTTCTGGGCAAATGTAAGTAGTGGCCACTGTTTCCGCTTCTTCACACAGATGATAAACTCTTTGTCTTAACCGATGGCTGAATTTAGTTAGACTACTTTAGGTGGCAATTACATTCTAACATCTCTGCAACTTCTAATGATATAGGGGAATTGCCAGATTTCTTTTTCTCCTTCTCCCTCTTCCTTTTTTTTTCTTCCCTTCTTTTTTTAATCCCTCTCCCTGCCTCTTTTCCCTCCCTTTCTTCCCTCCCTCTCTTTCATTCTTTTCTTTCTGTATTGGAGATTGAACCCAGGCCTTGTGCAGACTAAACAAGTGCTCCGTCACAGAGTTACTTAACCCAGCCCACCGAGCTTCTTATTGAGAGTTACTTACCCAGCCCACCGAGCTTCTTATTGAGAGTTACTTACCCAGCCCACCGAGCTTCTTATTGAGAGTTACTTACCCAGCCCACCGAGCTTCTTATTGATACGAGCTCTTTATTTCGAGACAGATCTGACTACAAGCCCAGAGCTGCATCTGAATTCCAGGTCTACTTTGTAAATATCGGAAGGTGAGGTTGATGAGCTGCCCGGCACCTTGTGCACCTTTGGCTCTGGCCGCGCAGGCCACTGTGGAATCCTACAAAGGCCACACTAGGAAGGCAGCTTCCTACATTTTTATGTCTGAAGTGTGATTGATGACATTTCTTCTTGGTGTTTCATTTTGAAAGAATTCATTTGTCAAACTTCTTTAATGAAGTTGAATTATGTTCAAGTGCCAGGCTAGTGTTTTGGGCATTGGAGGTGTGGTCAGTTGCTGGAACACCAGCCAGTGAGTGAAGGTAGTAAGTACTGAGTTTGAGTTGACCATCTTGGGCCATATATGGATGTTGTTTTGCCATTGTATTTTACAGCTTACAAGTTTCTTCTTTTTCTTACTCTTCAGCCGGCCTCTTAAGGTGTGTTTGTGTCCATTTCTCCCAGCACATCCTCTCAGCATCTCCACTCACCTGTACATAATTCAGCATCCAGCAGAGGTGAGTTCAATTTTATAAATGATACGGTGGGGTGTCACATAGAGAATAAATACACAGAAGGAAGCACACAGGTAAGTGTGTTCACCCCGCAGCTCGTTAGCATTCCTTACATTTCCTCTGAGGAAAAATTTTTACATATTATAAGATACTCAGATGTTCTTAGAGATATAAGATTTAACAAGAATTATGAATAATGTAGACGTTTAGAGCTTCAATAATTTTATATGATGCAAAGATGCAGCTTTATGAATAAAGAGCTAAGAGCCGGGCACCGGTGGCTCACACCTGTAATCCTACCTACTCAGAAGGCTGAGATCTGAGGATGGAGGTTCAAAGCCAGCCTGGGCAGAAAAGTCTGTGAGACTCTTATTTCCAATGAACCACCAGAAAACCGGAAGTGGCGCTGTGGCGCAAGTGGTAGGACATCAGCCTTGAGCTGAAGAGCTGAGGGACAGCGTCCAGGCCCAGAGTTCAAGCCCCATGACTGACCAAAAAAAACCTAAGAAAATCATTGCTTTGCAAATTTTGGTTGTAGCCTATGTTGCTTGGTGGGTTTTCTTGCTAAAGAAGAAGTCGTTTCTACATTTTGATGTTTAGTCTCAAAAAGTAAGTAAATTTCTGCTCTCTTACATGAATGGAACAAGTATGTATATTTTATGATATATGTTACATGTGAAAATGTAAAGTAATTTTTTACTCTTCTATTTAATTGTACATATTCCAGTGTCTATGTTTCTGTAAGTTTTGATCAGATGAGCGGAGGATGGAAGTCTTCAGAAACTATAAATTAGAATTACTACAAAGCTAATCAATACATGATATAAAACGGACTTAGTGGTTAGATATTTTTAGTATTTAGGAACTTAAATTTTATATTCAAATTGGTTTTAGGAAAAGGAATAAAATGTAGTATGTGTATATTACATAGTATATATTTTTTTGTTGTTCATGGGGCTTGAATTTATGGCCTGGACGCTATCTCTGAGCTTTTTTTTTTTTTTGGGTCTGGTCGTGGGGTCTGAACTCTGGGCCTGGGTGCTGTCCCTCAGCTCTTCAGCTAAAGGCTAGCGCTCTACCACTTGAGCCACAGCGCCACTTCTGGCTTTTTTCTTTTTTTTTTTGCTTATGTGGTGCTGAGGAATCGAACCCAGGGCCTCATGCATGCAAGGCAAGTGCTCTACCACTGAGCCACCTTCCCAGCCCCTCCCTGAGTTTTTTTTTTTGTCGGTAGTGGGGCTTGAACCTCTGGGCTTGGGCGCTGTCCCTGTGCTCTTTAGCTCAAGGCGAGTGCTCTACCGCTTGAGCCACAGTACCACTTTGGTTTACTAGTGGTTTATTGGAGATAAGAGTCTCACGGACTTTACTGCCCGGGCTGGCTTTGAACTGTGATGCTCAGATCTCAGCCTCCTCTGTAGCTAGGATGACAGGCATGAGGCACTGGCGCCCGGCTTTCCCTGAGCTTTTTGCTCAAGGTAGGCTAGTGCTCTACTACTTTGAGCCACAGCTCCACTTCTGTTTTCTGGTGGTTAATTGGAGATTAGAGTCTCAGGACTTTATTGGCTGGGCTGGCTTCAAACTGCAACCCTTACAGCTCAGCCTCCTGAGTAGCGAGGATTACAAGTGTGAGCCACTATTGGGCGGTAGTTTTATTTATTTTTTTAAGTTCAGAGTCTATATTACTTTCAGAGCTAAGAAATTAACCTTTCTTCAAACCATGAAATATTCCTTGTTTTGTTGCAGAGTATTAAATACTCTGTTGGGAAACCTGTTTTCCAGACTTAACAACTATATTTTTTGTCAGGAGTCTGGCAGTTTGGTTGCTAGAATTATTTTACTCGATTTAAACTTACAACATTGTGTGTTCAAATTTCCATAAGATAATAGTTTGCTGGCTACAGCAGGGCGTGTGTGTGTGTGTGTGTGTGTGCGCGCGCGCGTGCGTGTGTGTGCGCGCGCGCGCGCTGCTCCTGGGCTTGAACTCGGGCTGGGCACTGTCTCTGAGCTCTTTTGCCCAAGGTTGGCCCTGTACCACTTGAGCCACAGCTCTACTTCTTGCTTTCTTGCCTGGCCTGGCTTTGAACTGCAGTTCTCAGATCTCAGCCTCCAGAGTAGCTAGGATTATAGACATGAAGCACTGGTCCTTGGCTTTCTCTGCAGTTTTGATGGTGAATACTGTTTTTATTTTATGGTGTACATAGTATTTTGTCTTCTCCTTATTGTGTGGTCCTAGATATAAGATGGCTGTTCAGGTGGTATTTTCATTGATTTGTGATGACTTTAAAATTTTCAGAATGTGTTTCTCTTTTTTTATTTTTTAAACATCTATGGTAAATCCACAGTTTAGTTGATCATCCAAAAATGTACGTGCTGCAGTTTTGTATAAACAAGTACACGCGATGTGAAAAGAGTACATCTTCATCGTTTTCCCTTATTGAAAGGACTTTCTGGTTTACATCTAGCTCAATAATTCTATCCTGCTTGTGCACACTGGTGCACAGACGGTGTGGTGGTTTCATAACCTCCCATAAAGAAGGGATGTGAGGTGGTGTGCGCAGGCTGTGAGGGCAGCTGCGGGGAAGAAGCTGACAGGCCGCTGGTGGAGCACCTCACAGAGTGGATACACATGTGCAGAAACTCTCGTCTCCAGCTGTTTGGCCTTTGTGAAAGGGCACGTTTATCCACAGTGGTATGAAGTGTTCACTGCTTTAGCTGAAAAGGTATGAAGCATGAGAATAAACGGTGTAGGAGAATACCAGACCCTTAACCTTCTGTGAGGTGCTGTGACTACAGCTCAGGGTAGGAGTTAAGAATGAGGCTCCTCACTGCCTGAGGTCACATCCTCACAGCTCTGTAACCTCTGAACTTCAGTCTTCTCCTCAGTAAAATGAACACAATAAGAGATACAGTTCTTTGCTGTCTAACTGCAAATATTGTATGAACCTATTCCTATTGCTGTATCTCACTTACAATCATGTGTATTATAAAATGTCAGCTATTATGGCAATGATAATTTATAGTTTGTAAAAAAAATCTAAAATTGATAAATCAAGAAAATGTAAGCCTGGGCTGGTGGCTCACACCTGTAATCCTAGCTACTCAGGAAGTTTAGATCTAAGGATTGTGGTTTAAAACCAGCCCAGGTAGGAAAGTCAGTGAGACTCTTACCTCACATTAACCATCAGAAAATTGGAAGTGGAGCTGTGGATCAATGGTAGAGAGCTAGCTTTGAGCAAAAGAGCTTAGGGACAGTGCCCAGGCCCTGAGTTCAAGCCCCATAACCGACACAGACACACTCACAAAAATAGGTTGGTAAGTGAGCCTCTGTCTGAGTCTCACAGTCATGGTAAGAAGTGTGAAAGTGGAAAGTATTCTAAAACTCACATGCCCTTGATACCTGGCTCTGAGGATTAAAGATGAACTTGTAAAAGAAAAGTTATTCCTAGTATGGAAGCTAGGATGTTGAAAACCACTGATTGTAGTTAAACTAATGGAATTCTCAGAAGTAGTCACCAGATTTCTCTGCTCCAGAGCTATTGTACTCTGTATTCTTTGGGGCACCATAAGTCCAACCTCACCCAGGGAGAGGTGAGAGTCAGCCTCCCTTCTGGAGTAAAGGGTGTGAATGTTCATTGCTTAGAATTGTCCCAGGTGGAAAATGCCATCCTTCACCCCACTTACTGATGTAACTATTTGTATTACTTTGGATCCTTTTATATTTTGGGTTATAGTCTAATACTGTGTCACTTCTTTGTTACTGAAATCATACCATTTGGCCATTGGGCCAAAATTTGCATCTGTCTTTGACATGCTCATTATTTTGCTTTTTGAGCAGCTTCTTACTTTTTGGGTATAACGATCTAGGCAATTATCTTTAATCTGATGTAGTACAAAATGTAATTGTTTTTTAAATAAAAAGCTTGTCAGAATCTGATTCAGTGTAGTCAGACACAAATTTATGTTTTTATAATCCTAGCCACTATGTAGATTAATGCTCCCTTAATGTATCAGTAAACTGTAAGCATATGCTAAAACGTCATTCTTGCATTATGTTTAGCATTAATAAGTCAGGGAAGCCTTACCCAGTATTTTACTGTGAAAGTTATACATAAAGTTCTACATCAACTACTCGCCATCAGAGTCTTTAAGTTTTTAGTACTCAGGACCTTGCCACTTAGCTACATGCTGAACCTTGTCATAAAAGTCACGTCCTACCACATTTTCTTCAAAGGAGAGCAAGGTGCTGCGCACAGTCCCTCTGCTGGTGGCCTGCCTCCCCCAGGACAAGTGCACAGTGAAGGTTGGCCGTCGCTTCAGTGGAGAAAGGTAACCGAAGACTCTCACTGCAGCGGGGCCCGAGGCCTGGGTGGGGACAGCGATGAGTGACGAGTGACGGTCGGTCAGCAGAGACTTGTCAGTGTATCAGCTTAGACAGATGACTTAACAGAGGGTTGTTTTTTTGGGGGGGGGAGGGGGAAGTCCTTGGGCTTGAACTCTGGGCCTGGGCACTGTCCTGAGCTCCTTTTGCAAGGCTAGCACTGTACCACTCGAACCACAATGCCACCTCCAGTGTTTTCTGTGATGAATTGGAGATGAGAGTCTCATGGACTTTTCTGGCCTGGCTGGCTTTGAACCATGGTCCTCATATCTGAGCTGCCTGAGCAGTTAGGATTATAGGCGTGAGCCACTGGTGCATGGCAAGGTTGGGGGAGGGAGACTTTTATTAGGGATTTAGTAAGCATAATGAAACTTCTGTTTTCTCCTCAACCTAATAAAGATGTACTTACAAAAAACAATTTTTTAGAGATGTTGAGCTTTCAACTGTTTGCCAGAAGTCTGGAACATTAATATTATATCCAGGGGCTGAAGCTACCGATTTGGAAGAATTTCTGTCAAGTTCCCCTGTTTACCCTTCCACACTTGTCATCATCGATGGCACCTGGAGCCAGGCCAAGGACATCTTCTATAAGAATTCCCTGTTCCGACTTCCCAAACAGGTAAGCCGGCATGTGTGCATAGACTTGTGTGCCATGTGTACTTGACTGGGTGTAGGATATGTGTTCTGTATTTATACATAAATACACGTATATTTACAGTCGCAAGGTTACCTTTGTGTACTAATGCTGTTATGAAAAAGTTTTATATTTAAATACTTAGCTACTAAATTACCTAATTCTTATTTGGAACCATTAAACTTTTTGGTATTACTTGTGGCTAATCCTAAAGTTCATCCATGCAGTTAGTTATAATCTGTGTCCTAGTATTGAACCATTCTTGTTTCTGGAATACATTCTTCAGACTACCAAAATGTTTTGATACATAGCTGAAGTTTATATATTACTTAACGTAACTGAATTATAACATACTATTTTTTGTACTTTAATTGTTAAGTTTAGAGGCTAAGGTAATCCTAGATTCACAAGATTTTAATATTTCTCTGTGGCCTAGAATAATTTAAATATTTTTGTAAATAATTCCTTAGCTGGAATTCATTGGTAAAAATTTCTGGTCCTGGTCACTTTAAAGATGACATTTTAATCCTTCCAGACTTTTTTTTTTTTTTTTTTTTTGGGTTGGTCTTGGAGCTTGAACTCGACCTGGGAGCTGTCCCTCAGCTCCTCAGCTCAAGGCAAGCGCTCTACCGCTTGAGCCACAGCGCCACTTCTGGTTTTCGAGTGGTTTATTGGAGATAAGAGTTTCACGGACTTTCCTGCCCAGGCTGGCTTTGAACCACGATCCTCAGATCGCCTGCTGAGTAGCTAGGATTACAGGCATGAGCCACTGGTGCCCGGCTCCTTCCAGACTTTTATAGAATATATGTCTCAAGCTTTCTACTTGCATTTGACCCATTTTAATAGCTCATATATTTCCTAGGAATTCTCTTTTTTCTAAGTTAGCACATTGGCTGGTGTATACTAAAATACATCTTTACATAATTATTTTAATTTTTTCCTGTATGTTTTTTTCTTATTTCTAAATCACATACATACACACACACACAATAAACACACGTTTTTCATGAAGATTCAAAAAGTTGTTTGCTGGGACTACAGGTATATGCCACGATGCCTGGGGAAGTTTATTAGCCTTTAAAATATAATCTTTTAGGTTTTCTTCCTTCTCTCTTCCTCCCTTCTCCCTCTCCTCTCCCTCTTCCCCCTCTTCCCTTACCTTGTGCCAGTAGAGCACAAGTACTTGCCCGGGAAGTATTCTACCCCTTGAGCTCTGCCCTGTCCTTTTGCCCTTTTACTTTGTTTTGGACAAGATCTTGCCATCTGTGCCCAGACTGGTCTTAACTAGCATCCTTCTGTTTCTGCTTGCTAAGTATTTGGTATTATAGCACACCTAGCTGGTTAAGTCTTATTTCTAAATGTGGTTTGTTATGTGTTTCTTACCTTACTCTTAATATACACAAACCCATCACTTTTTAAAAAATTGACTTGTCTTAGGTTTTGTTCTTAATTTTGTACATTTATTTAGTCTATAGTAGTATAAATTCATGAGAGAAAAATGGTAGAAAAGATAGAAAAATCAGAATTTAATCCAGAGCATTGCTTTCTTTATCGATAAAAAAGAACCATATTTTTCTCCTAATAATGAGTAACCATATGTAAATTTCATACTAAACATAATTGAGGAATGGAAGTATAGTAATGCAAACCTGCTAACTTGGTTCCTTTTAATTTGGAATTCTAATAACTCAGACCATTTGGCAGTGAATCTTTTCCCTCAGAGGAGTCTTTCCTATGAGGCTCTGGACGTTTGCTAGGAATAAATCCAAGATGAGTGAGGAAATGTTTGTAGAGGCCCCTGGCTTTCTTTGCAAATACATTTTCATGCAGTACTTGCATAGTTTTGCTTTGCTGCTTTTAATCCATTTACTAAGGCTTAGTGTTTCCCTTGGTGACCAGAGAGCACCATAGAGAGCACTCATGGACCAAGTTACTGTCCTGTGTCCACATAGAGCTGTTACAGAGTGGTTTATGTTGTATGTCTGTTCTATTGCCAAATTTACCCTTGCTTTTTTTTTTTTTTGGGTCCGGTCGTGGGGCCTGAACTCTGGGCCTGGGCGCTGTCCCTCAGCTCTTCAGCTCAAGGCTAGCGCTCTACCACTTGAGCCACAGCGCCACTTCCGGCTTTTTTCTTTTTGCTTATGTGGTGCTGAGGAATCGAACCCAGGGCCTTGAGCATGCAAGGCAAGCACTCTACCACTGAGTCACCTTCCCAGCCCTACCCTTGCTTTTTTTTTTTTAAGTGTGTCTTTATTCCCCAGTTTTTTTTTTTTGTTTTTTTTTTTGGGTCCGGTCGTGGGGCCTGAACTCTGGGCCTGGGCACTGTCCCTCAGCTCTTCAGCTCAAGGCTAGTGCTCTACCACTTGAGCCACAGCGCCACTTCCGGCTTTTTTCTTTTTTGCTTATGTGGTGCTGAGGAATCGAACCCCCAGGGCCTTGAACATGCAAGGTAAGCACTCTACCACTGAGCCACCTTCCCAGCCCCCCTACCCTTGCTTTTTAAAAACTTAAAAAAAATGTATTCTCAGTATTGGAAGTTGCTTTACTTTCAGAAGACACTTTAAATAGTATTTTTTTCCCCACCAGAGTTAATAGTGTAAAAGATTCTGGACTAGCATGGTGTAGCATAGCCTCATTGAGTAGTGGGTTCTGAATAACTTGTTCTGCTTAGTGCTTGTTAATGACTTCGGTTCTTCCCAGTACATGTGTTTTTCATCAGAGAGATAACCATATCGCATCACAAGACCTCAGCTTAATGTGAAGCCAAGGCCAGAGGCCTTTGTAGCTGTGATTTTGCCTTTTGACCTTGGCATATCATTGGTTGTTGTGTTGACAGAATATGTCCATACCTCCTTTCTGGCTCTTGTACCCTTCCTCATATACCACAGAGCTGCTCTCTGAGCCTATAGGTCCTGTGTACATAGACAAACTGAGTGACATTAAATAAGGTGGCTTCCTTTTGATGTGTGATTCTAGGTGATAGAAGAGTATGAGATAGGATTTTGGTACAGCAATACATAGGGGATAATGTAGAAATGTTCTCATGGACCTCCCTGTGGCACTCCCCTATGTATAGAGGAGTATGGGGTAGGAGGAGCTGGGATGCGGCAGCGGTATGTAAGAGGAGAAGGTCTTCACGGACCTCCATGTGCGTTATGTGTAGAGGAGTTCGGACCTCCATGTGGCACTGTGTAGAGGAGCTGGGGCAGGGCCTGGGATGTGGCGGTATGTAAGAGGACAAGGTCTTCACGGACCTCCATGTGGCACTGTGTAGAGGAGTTGGGGCAGGGGCTGGGATGTGGCAGTATGGACTGAGAGGATAATGTAGAGAGGTTCTCACGGATCTCCATGTGGCATTCCCCTTTGTGTGGAAGAAGCCCTTTCACAACAAGGACTGTTAACTGTTCCTGAGCCTTCTGCTTCCAGGTCCCCTTTCTTAGCACGGTCACATTGGGGATTAAGTGTCCAGCACATGAATTCAGTAAGACATATCAAACTATAGCAGGCTGAAATCCCAGAGGATGCAGCACTGCCATAGGGAAGGGAAGGAGAATTCAATCAAGCATTCAGTTTTGTAGTACGTAGGGTGAATTCTTGACTGTACTTTCTCCCTTTCCCCTCATTCATGTACCCTCTCCCCTTGGTTCCATCCCCTTCTTGCAAGTACCCATTTCCTGGTACTTACTTTTTTGGGCTTTGACTTAGTCTTCTTTTTTTCTTTCCCGTTGGTCGTGGGGCTTGAACTCTGGGCCTAGGTGCTATCTCTTAGCTCTTCAGCTCAAGGCAAGTGCTCTACTGCTTGAGCCACAGCCCCACTTCTGGTTTTTTCTGGTGGTTTATTGGAGATAAGAGTCTCACTGACTTTCCTGCCCACGCTGGCTTTGAACTGTGATCTTCAGATCTCAGCCTCCTGAGTAGTTAGGATGACAGGCATGAGCCACAGGTGCCTGGCTTTTGACTTAGTCTTTCTAAAGAATTATACTGTTTGAGCTCTTCATGGAGTCTGTTATACTTCAGTTAATTGGTTTGTGCCCATTTGCATACCTCCCCGTGTATTTACTGAAGAGGTGGTTGGGAGGGGTGGGTGAGAATGGTGGAAAGGTGGCACTGGTGGAGAGACACTGTACGTGAACTGCTCTGTGCAAGGGCAGCTCCTGTGAACAACGTAAAGATCATACAAAGAAGGCAGTAAGGGAAGGAATGCGTCTAGAGAGAATGTTGACGGGTGACACTGCTCTAGACACATCACATCATAAACTGCTTTGTGGAATGGTAACTGCTTTGTGCAACTGCTCAACAGTAACTTAGAAAAAGAAATTTTGACGAGTCATACCACATGAACTGTTAGTCAAATCTGCATTAAGGTTTGCATGCCCACACCAAGCAGCGTTCTTTGGTAATGCCTACTTAGAGGCAGCATCCCTTTCCTTTTTCTTCCACCAAGGAAAAAAAGATCTGACTGTAGAGAACTCTCTACGCATAGAGCACAAGCTGAACTGTGTTTCTCATCAAGAGAAAGAACCGCAAGAGGGGCGTGGAGGGACAGGATGCCGCAGCTGAGGGTTTGCGGTGGGTAAAGCAGAAGGACTCAGGGTGCTTTGGGATACTGGAAGTTAGGAAAGGATGTCAGATTTTAATAGCTTACTGCCAGTGTTGCCTGGACTTCCAGCACACATGTTCTCATATTTTATGAGCAAATATCGAAATTAAGATATAATCATCTTTTTAAAAAATATTTTTTATTGAGATTAGGTGATTACATAAAATTCACATTTCACAGTATTGTGGGATAGTGATACTTCAAGTCACAAACACATTTTAATCTTCACAAGGCAGTTTGTCATTATCATGGTCTATAAAGTTTGTGAATTCTGTGAGCTTTGACAGTACAACTATGTCTTCCATATCAGGTGATATTTACATTTCTTTCCCTTTGCCTAGTGTCGGCTGCTCCCTGTTTCCCTGTCCTTCCCCCACTCCCAGAGCTGCCCTTGAGTTGCTTAGTTCATTCTCCTCAGTGCCTAGCGGGCCCCTCTGCTTATGCTCATATCTTTAAATGTGATTCTGACTAGACTGTGGAATGTGACTTTATCAGTGTAAGATTGGTTGAACTTTAATTGAATTTAAAACAGGAATCAGAAGGCTAAACTGTTGCAAATATGTTTAGTATACCACTTTTTTTTCTTTTTGGTTCTGGTCCTGGGACTTGAACTCGTGGCCTGAACACTGCCCGAGTTGTTTGCTTAAGGCTAGCAACTCTACCACTTGAGTCATAACTTCACTTGTGGCTTTTTGGTGATTAATGGAAATAAGATCTGATGGGCTTTCCTGCCTGGGCTGGCTTCGAACCATACTCCTCAATGCTCAGCCCCCTGAGTAGCTGGGATTACAGGTATGAGCCACCAATGCCTGGCTTAACCTGCTACTTTTTACTTAAGATATATACTTTTGTGTGTATTTATACCATTATCACACAGAAATATTTCTGTCAATTTATATTAAGAACTTTTGGAATGATAAACTGTAAATACATAAGATTGTAAAATTATTCTCTAAAATGATGATACCATTTTAATTCTCAGTGTGTGTTTTATTTCTTCCTTGTCTTAAAAGTGTCTGATGCTAGCTACTCTAATGATGTGAAATATTAGCCTGTTGTGGTTTTAATTTGTAGTAGATATTTGAGCGTCCCCTGCTGGCCCTCATAGTGTTGTGAGTGAGCCCAGGCCCTTGAGCATGCTAGAAAACACTGAGTGCAGCACTGTTCCAGTGATCCTCAGCCCATCTGAGCCCTTCTGTATGCAGCACTGTTCCAGTGATCCTCAGCCCATCTGGCCCTTCTATACCAATTGCCGTTCATGTATCGTGATTTGTGAAGTGTATATTCGTTCTTTTTCTCACCGGAAGGGAGTTGTCAGTTTCTCATGTTGGAAATACAGGACTTTGAATATATTCTGGAAGTATTTTCTTTGTCATATGTATTTGTAACTAGTCATTTAATATTAAACAGTTACAACAATAAAATGATAACAGATGTTGGTATACTTAATATGTATAAACCACTGGTAATTTTAGGAGGAAAGTAATTTCTGTTTAAAGCACAGTTTTAGTGGTGCATATTTTTATCCCAGCATTCCAGAAAGAGAGGCAAGTTTGAGGCCAATCTGAAGTACATAGCATGACCTTGTCTCAAAAAAACCTCAAACTATCAACTAATCCAAAATAAAAAAAACAAGCCCCCAAAAGCTAAATAAAACACAGGCCTTAAAATTTGAAAATTGGTTTATTTATGTTTTTGTGCTTTTTTTTTCAGGTGCAGTTAAAAACTAACATTTCCAGTCAATATGTAATTCGGATGCAACCCACTAATAGATGCCTTTCTACCCTGGAATGTGCTGCTGTTGCTCTTTCCATCCTAGAGAAGAATATTCACATACAGGAGGTATGTGCAAGGTAGTGGGGTTTTCTGTGTGTGTGTGCGCACGTGCGTGTGTGTGTTTTAAACACCAGTACTGGGCTTGAACTCAGGGCCAGGGGGCTGTCTTTTACTTTTTTTCATTTAAGGGTAGAGCTCTACCACGTGAGCCATACCTTTAATTCCATCTTCTTTTTGGCTGGTTAATTGGAACTAGAAGTCTTGCAGATTTTTCTGCATAGGCTAGCTTTGAACCCTTATGAGTAACTAGGATTACCGACGTGAGTCATCAGCACCCCACAGAGATTGCAGTTTTGGAGAGTAGTTTGGTTAAATTTTATTTAGGAAACTTACACATGATTAACTTGTAAAATTTGTTACTTAAGAGGTAGAAATTTATGTCTGTTGTAATCTTGTTTCCTCCTTGGTATTTTCTGGATTAGAGTTGCAGATTGTATTATTTAAATATTGACACTTCTGAGCAAATAGTGTAATAAGTGCCATTGCACAACATAACATGGAATTTTCTTTTTTGACTTTTTTTGGAAGTCTGTATTCTCTTATGTCCAACTAAAACATTCTACAACAATATTAGTTTTTTCCATTGGTGCCTTTATTTGAGGAGATACAGTACCATCCTATTTATTAAAATTAAACTTGCTTTGAGTGTAAAATAGATCCTTGTTTTTTGGATAGAAATGCCTACAGAATATGGAAAGGTTGTGAACTTCAATCACCACACATTCTGTTAGTTTCCATGAATATATGATGATTGCTTATATAATTAATAATCATCAGCAAAAATACTGCTTCAGTGACCTTACTAATAATATCAATCTTTTGGAATAGGTAACAGGCTTTTTTTTTATAGCAGTGGAAAAACTAGCTAAACTTAAATTGTTAGAGTTTTTTTTTAACAATTTGGAAAGTTTGGTAACTATAATCCGAGAAGAAAGTTAGAGGAAAACAAGCATAACTAACTGGAGATATAGAAGACTCCTTCTGACAGACACACCACAGCACATACATGCACACACCTCACACACACCCTCTCTCCCTCCCTCCTTTTCCTACCTGCCACCCACCTGCCTTCCACATTATGTACTGTATTATAGAGACTGTGCCCAACCCTGAAGGAAGTCCCAGTGGGTAAACATGCAGTTCTGAGTACAAGATGTTAATCCTAAAGAGAACTAAAAGCTCTCAAGAACTAGAAGGGCTAAGTGCCAGAAACCATCATTGAACTGTTTTCTCTCCCTGGCCCTAAGCATGGGGAATGTCAGAGCTGGACACCTTTCTTCTTTTCAAACAGCTGGGCTTCTTTTAGGTGTATAAATATGTGAGTAGACTTTGTTTTGGGTCTAGGCAATTTTGCTTTCTCCCTTCTCTGCTTTGAAAAATAAATAGTGATCTCAGACTCCCCTCCCCCTTACCCTTTCTACCCACTCCACGCACAGGCCGTCATCAGAACAGGAGTGACCTCAGACCCCCCTCCCCCTTACCCTTTCTACCCACTCCACGCACAGGCCATCATCAGAACAGGAGTGACCTCAGACCCCCCTCCCCCTTACCCTTTCTACCCACTCCACGCACAGGCCTTCATCAGAACAGGAGTGACCTCAGACCCCCCTCCCCCTTACCCTTTCTACCCACTCCACCCACAGACCATCATCAGAACAGGAGTGACCTCAGACTCCCCTCCCCCTTACCCTTTCTACCCACTCCACGCACAGACCATCATCAGAACAGGAGTGACCTCAGACTCCCCTCCCCCTTACCCTTTCTACCCACTCCACGCACAGGCCTTCATCAGAACAGGAGTGACCTCAGACCCCCCTCCCCCTTACCCTTTCTACCCACTCCACGCACAGGCCGTCATCAGAACAGGAGTGACCTCAGACCCCCCTCCCCCTTACCCTTTCTACCCACTCCACGCACAGGCCGTCATCAGAACAGGAGTGACCTCAGACCCCCCCTCCCCCTTACCCTTTCTACCCACTCCACGCACAGGCCGTCATCAGAACAGGAGTGACCTCAGACCCCCCTCCCCCTTACCCTTTCTACCCACTCCACGCACAGGCTGTCATCAGAACAGGAGTGACCTCAGACCCCCCTCCCCCTTACCCTTTCTACCCACTCCACGCACAGACCATCATCAGAACAGGAGTGACCTCAGACTCCCCTCCCCCAACCCTTTCTACCCACTCCACGCACAGACCATCATCAGAACAGGAGTGACCTCAGACTCCCCTCCCCCAACCCTTTCTACCTACTCCACGCACAGACCATCATCAGAACAGGAGTGACCTCAGACCCCCCTCCCCCTTACCCTTTCTACCCACTCCACGCACAGGCCGTCATCAGAACAGGAGTGACCTCAGACCCCCCTCCCCCTTACCCTTTCTACCCACTCCACGCACAGGCCGTCATCAGAACAGGAGTGACCTCAGACCCCCCTCCCCCTTACCCTTTCTACCCACTCCACGCACAGGCCGTCATCAGAACAGGAGTGACCTCAGACCCCCCTCCCCCTTACCCTTTCTATCTCAGACTCCCCTCCCCCTTACCCTTTCTACCCACTCCACGCACAGACCATCATCAGAACAGGAGTGACCTCAGGCCCCCCTCCCCCTTACCCTTTCTACCCACTCCACGCACAGGCCGTCATCAGAACAGGAGTGACCTCAGACTCCCCTCCCCCTTACCCTTCGCATCTGCTCCCATGTGTGCAAGTCGTCAGCACAAGTCGTCGTCATCTTTTCCTTACATCTTTGGGCACAAAACCAAATACACTCATGTAGATAGTTTAACAGATGAAGCTAGTTAGTGTTTTGCCAAGGTTGCTTTCTGTACAGTCTGTATTTTCCTTTCTCTTTATATAATAGATTCTTGGATCACATAGAACCAGACCAGCGAATTATCACAAAGTCAAAATTCAGTCAATTTGAGGGCAAAATATACTCTTCTTTGTCTGTAGATTTAAAACTTGCTTTCTTCTGCTCCCAAAGATTTATGTCTCCTGTTTCCACAGTTGGGATTAGATCTTTACTGTAATCCTAAACAACAGTTTCAGTGTTGGTAGGTTATAGTGGCTGTTGGTGGAGTGTGGTAGGTTGAAGGTTAGGGTTGGTAAGGCTGATAGTTATAGTGGAGTTGGTGGAGTATAGTAGGTTGAGGGCCAGTGATGGTAGAGCTGGTGGTTATAGTGATAGTTGGTGGAGTGTGGTAAGATTAGGGCTAATAATGAGTGGTACGGCTGGTGGTTACAGTGATAATTAGTGCCCTATAGTAGGTTGAGGCCTGGATGGGGGCTTAACTTCTAATGCTGCACCCCTTCCAGTTTTATAGTCACAACATTGTGGTAGGTATTGATACACTGTCACAGTGTAACAGAACACACAGCTGTTAACCAAGAGTGCCTTATTTTCTGTTTTACAAATATCTACGGTGAATATTTTCAGAGTTGAGAAGGAAATTCTCCAAAAACTACTAACTTTTTATTTTTAAGACAGCTTTCTTAGTACTAGTTTAAGGACTTTCTATCAACATATATAGCTTTCATCAGTTCATAACTCTCACTACTTGATAGAACCCAAAGCATCCCCTGATGACATGACACTAAAAGCTGGTATTTACTCCTGCCAGAGTTGGATGTACTTTGTGATCAGATATATAAAAGCAAAAAGGATCCTTGTCATGGCAACTTAGACTTACAAAAAACCTTATGTCCAAAGTAATGTCTAAGAGTCCGCAGCGTTGAAGATACAGAGTGGTGGTGGGGCCTGGCGTCTCCCCAGCACTGCTGTTGGTTTTATGTCCAGACCCCTGGGCATAAAAGCCCGAGTAGCACTGGGGCCTCGATCCGCCGCTCTAATAACTGGGGCCACTAGGAGTAACTGTGCTACAGTGGGTACAAGTGCAAAAGCAATGTCTGACAGTCAGGTTTTCTGTCGTTTGGGAGGTGTTGGAAAGGTGGTTGGGGAAACAGAAACAAGGAGAAATGAACCATGAAAGATCTCAAGTTGCTTATTATTCAGGGGGCAAAACTGGGCCTCCAGTTAATAGTAAAATCTGCTTTCTTAGTAGGTGAACCCTGAGTCCAACCTGTTAAAAATCTAGTTGTAATAAAAACATGGGCATGTTTCTCTGGGGAACACAATTGGTTTAACAATAAGTTTTTTTTTTTTCCTTCCTAGAGAGGAAGCTACAATGTACATTCTACCCAGTAACCTTATAAAAAAACCTTCAGATGACGGATGAGAGCAACACATTTTTACAGCTGCAGTCTATAGACATAGAACTTCCCAAAACACAGAACTTAGCACGTTGTAGTCTTACTAGTCTTTTGATTCATCCTCCTCATTTGCTCTACACCAGTTTTTGGTAGCTCCCTGGAAGGAACATGATAGGAGTTGTAGGTTTGAATTGTGCCTTGATCACTTCCTGTCAGCACTGTGGCCCCTGTACCTTTTCTTTTTGAGCTGTGGGAGATGTGTCCCAGGGCCTTGTACCTGCTGGGCAAGTGCTCTACTGTTGAGCTGTCCCAGGCCTTGTTGTTTTTTTTGAATCAAGGACTCATGGCTTTGAACTTACCCTTTACCCAAGTCTGGCCTCAGCTTCATGTTTCTCTCCCTCAGCCTCTGGCTTTACATATATCCTTACATGTATCATTACATCTGGCCTTTTTTTTTTTACTGTTTGTATGTATGGTTAGTTCATCGTACTCTGCAAATTAAGATCACGTGTGTTCATTGCCATGATTTTCAACACAGGGCATTGATCTTTGACCTGTCTTCATATTCTTTATTTTTGCCTGTAGATTGGTAGAAGAAATTTTAAACTGAAATTTGTTGGGAGTTTTTTTTCTTTTTTGTTCCAGTTCTGAGGCTTGAACTCAGGATCGGGGCATTGTCCTTGAGCTTCTGTTGCTCAAAGCTAATACTTTACCAGTTGAGTGAGAGCATCACTTCTGACTTTTTTTTTAAGTGATTAACTGGAGATAAGAGTCTCATGGACTTACCTGCCTATGCTGTAACTTTGAGCTGTGTTCTTCAGATCTCAGCCTCCTGAGTAGTTAGGATTCCAGGCGTGAGCCACTGCTACTAGGACAGATTTGGTGATTTTTATTATTTTATTTTTATTATTTTTAGTTTTAGTTTTGTTGATTGTGGAGGCTTGAACTCTGGGCCTGGGCCCTGTCCCTCAGCTCTTCAGCTCAAGGCTATCAAGGCTAGCACTCTACCACTTGAGCCATAGGACCACTTTGGGTTTTCTGGTGTTTTTTCTTTTTTGGGAGATAAGAGTCTCATGGAGGGCTGGGAAGGTGGCTCAGTGGTAGAGCGCTTGCCTTGCATGCTCGAGGCCCTGGGTTCGATTCCTCAGCACCACATAAGCAAAAAGAAAAAAGCCGGAAGTGGCGCTGTGGCTCAAGTGGTAGAGTGCTAGCCTTGAGCTGAAGAGCTGAGGGACAGCGCCCAGGCCCAGAGTTCAGGCCCCACGACCGGACCCAAAAAAAAAAAAAAAAAGAGTCTCATGGACTTTTCTGCTCAGGTTGGCTTTAAACTGTGATCCTCAGATCTCAGCCTCCTGAATAGCTAGGATTATAGGCATGAGCCATTGGCACCCAGCTAGATTTGTTGATTTTTAAAAATTCAGGGTATTGTAATAATTACCAGGATGTTGCAAGATCTTCCTCTACTTGGGAAGATTTACCTTAGGAACTTTCAAAGTTCTGAGCTATGTTCAGGATAAGCACCTTAGTCCTACTTGCATGAGTGGTTGGTACTAATGGTCCCTTGGAACCCATCTCTTGGCACATGCAGATGAAAGGATTTATAAAACAATGATTTTCCCAAATCCACTCATTTTAGAAATGAGTTTATTTGTAGAGAATCTTCTTTATTCTGTAAGCTAGTCTTTCTCCTATGTAGCCCCTCATGGCCTCAGAGTCATCTTCTTTCTTTGTATGGTGGCATTGTCATTTAGTGTGTATCAAGTTGTATGCTCAACAGTTTTCTTCTTAATGGTATTGGGGAATGGGCCAAGGGCAAGGGCCAGGCAAGCACTTTACAATATGCGCCGTGCTCTCAGCCCTTTTGTTCTCCTTCCAGTCCAGCTTCCTTGGAAAAATTAATATTTATTCAGAGGTGTGTAACCTGTGAATTTATAAATAATTACATGAACTTTATAATATTTACTGTTTTTCACAGTTGAACAATATTGATATTAAAAGAAACATCTATTTTTGAAGAAAACATGTAGATGGAACATTATGATGTGTTATGGCTACTCTTTTAGTATTTTTTTTCTTAACAGACTTTGCTTCGTCCTCTCCAAGCTTTATGCTCTTTCCAGCTTCAGCATGGTGCTCAAATCCGCCTCAGCAAGGAACATCTTCTGAAAAATGGATTGTACCCCAAGCCAATGCCCACGAGCAAACGCAAGCTCAGAAAAATGGAGCTCTTAATGAACAGTGTTAAAATTTAGTGCAGGTGTTCGGATGCGGCTTTACCTGTCATTTACTGGCAAGATCAGGTTACATTTTCATGCAGTTAAGATGTGTGGGCTTTTGACACTCAAGAAAAATGTGAGGGTTGCTATGAATCCTATTTAAGAAGGAAGAAAACCAAACAATGATGAAAAACAGCAAAATGGTTTGCTGCTTTGGTGAAAAGAAAAATTTGATACTGTATTAGTTTAACGATGTGCCTCTAAAACATTTTCCAAATCCATAATTTAAAGTGTAATTGGTTGTTGAGCTATGGTTAGAAGCACTTGTTTATAAAATGAAGAAAACTGTACCTGATTGGAACAGTATTGTTTCTGTTTGTGTTTAGGACGATGGAGTATCTCTAGTAGAGTATGTCCTACATTGGTGTATAGCCTTGTACATGAACTTAAGTTTGGAGTGAGTAGCAAAAGAAAATTATGATGATCAAATAGTTCAGCTTGAATTATTTATTTCTTAAACTAGTACAAAGGAACAAGGAAACTTTAGAATTGTTTAAAGGTTAAACTTGAACTTTGTTAATGTGATTTGTGTTCTGCTAACTGCCCAAGTTCTTCAATTTTGAAATAGCACACATTTTCATTTACAGTTGCTTTGGATGTGTTTAGATTTTTTAGTCGTCACTGAACAGGCTTTTCAACTGCAGTAAGCTGATTTTATTGAGGTTTCCCTAACTAAGCTGTTATTTTGAGAGCACAGATCTGTAAGTAGGTCTATTTAAATATATTTTTTTAATAAGCAAAGACTTTAATATGAGGAAACAAATTCCTTCAGCCCCATTGGGAAAATATTTACAGAGATTTTGTGTAAAGGAAATTTATGTAATGTGTATTTACATCCAACTTAAATTTACTACATTACATACATTTTTTGGCAACAAATGGGGGCTTTGGACTTTGTTCATGACTGTTAGAATTTCCTGTATCCAGTGTTAAATCGGAAGGAAAAAAACTAAATATGCAGATTTAAAAGGAAGCTTGACACAAGTGTGTATTTGTGTGTGTGCGAGTGTGTATGCTGTTGGTATATGAATGTGTGGATGCCATTGGTAGCGTGAACATAAAGTAGTGGCAATTTCTGAATGTTTTCAGACTCATTTATCCCTCATACTAGACCTTAATTGAGAGTGGATGTGTTTGAGTGTGAGTTTGAGTGTGCGTTGTGTAACGGTGGGAGTGTGAGCATGAGCATATGCTGACGGCTGTGATTCTGGCTGTAACTAGAGTACTAACAAAGTTTAGGAGAACTATGCAGAAAATATTTTGAAATATTAAACATTTATATTTCTGTCTTCAATTGTTGACTTATTTTTGCAGTGAAAACAGGTCAGCTCATTTATAATCTGAAATGCCTAATATCAAATGATTATTTCTATATTAGTGGAGAACTAATATAACGTATAATACATTTCTCAACAAATGGGTAAAGTCATCTTTCAGTGATTTTTATGTCAAGATTAAACTTTATAGATTTCTTTTAACATTACTGCTTTCTTGAAGATCCAATTGTGACAACATTTATATTTCAAAAATAATGTACTTCTAACAGCATTTTTGAACACTTAAATGCTTAATACTTATTATTTTAGTAAATTTTCTTTAAGGAAATTTGTTTGGATAGAAGCAAGATGTCAGATTAGGACAATTAGCACTTCTGTCTCTGCAAGTCTAAAATAGAGCATCAGTGTGTAGCTGCAGGGAAAGGTGGATCATGAGGTGGCCAGGTAGAATCCAGAAATACTAAGCCTTAGGTTGGTAAAAGAAACGGGGACCCTAGGCTGCAAAGCAAAATGGAAGGGTAAAGGAGAGTTCCTGTCAGTGGGGCTTCAAGCAGAAGAGAAAAGGAATGTGAGCTCCACAGGCTCATACTCTAGAAGTTGGCAATAAGGCAGGATGGACATGGGTGGCCAGTGAGCCAACAGACCCTAGAGGAGCGTCTCCTGTACTTCCTAGCTTGGTCCCTGGTGCTCTCATGGCTTCACCTGGAGAGAAGTCTTACAGCCAGACCTCTCAGATAAGCATCTCATGTGTAAACGGCAGTGTTTGGGTACATCAGTGCTGCCCAGGCTGCCCCTCCTCGACATGAGCAGTCATTCTTAGAATCGTCGTGATTCATTAGGGTCTCCTTTGTGACAAGTGCTGGCCAAGCTGCAGAGGGAAGCCAGGGAAGGGAGAGAGACCAGGTGTATGTGAGAATGGTTTGTATGGCTTAGCTGAAGACGGGTGTGGCCGGACATACTGAACAGCCCGGTGCCCTCCCTTTCTCTCTCCTTTCCTCCCTGCCTTCTCCCCCTTTTCTCTTCCTCGCCTCTCTCGTTCACTGTTTGCCTTGTTCTGTACTTGTTTTTCCTGTTATTATACTTTCATCCTATATGTTTTCCACATCTTAATTTTCGTTTTTCCTCTTCTGATCCTCTTTTTATTAATTATTAAGTAGAGAAAGATGAAAAATAATTCTACTTCACAGGAAATGGAAGACTCAAGATGGCATTTTATCTGTGGGCTTTGTACTGTTTGGAACATGTGATGTGATGTCATATGTCACCGAGCAGCTTAGAATCTTCAGCTAATGGCTCTGGGATAGGGAGACGGCACTATCCTGACACATGGACAGTAGGTGCACCTTTGGGTTGTGCCCGAGATGCCTTTTATTTTTTCTGTCTGTGCCTCCTTCAAGGAGCCTTGCATCTTCCTAATCCTTGAAGGAGAAGGTGGCAGGTACTGGTAGCCTCTCTGTGTCTTGCAACTTAACATCTAAAAGATGGGAGGGAGCTCTTTTTCAGCTTACTCCTTGGTTCTAATTTTTTACTTTGTCACTTTAAATATTTATTAAAAAAAACCTATTTTCTCTGTCTCGTCATTCATCTGTTTTGCCTCTGTTCTCTTCTGTGAGTGGAATTGAGGGCTGGGACTTTCAGAGAAGGCTATCCACTAAGAAGATCTGCATACAACTGGAGGAGGTTTCCATCTTAAGTGCAAATTGAAACAGAAACTAGAAAACAAAAAAGTCAACATACGCCTCCAAAAGTTTATAAGATCTCTCTCAGTAATGGAATCTAAAGATATTCAAATGGTTAAAGTGTGAATGAATTCACAAGATTAGTTTTAAAAATGATTGGTTACCTCAAAGAGGATTAAAAAGTCCCCGGATAAGTGAAGTAAGGAATTCAAGAGATGGTAGACATTGAAATTTGGAAGGAACAGGGAAAAACTTAAACAGAAATCTTAGAAAGGAAAAGCTTAATAAGTAAAAACAACAACAAAAGTCAGTGGAAATCATTACCAGTAGACTCGACCAATAAAACAAAAAACATAAGCCGGGCGCTGGTGGCTCACGCCTGTCATCCTAGCTATTCAGGAGGCTGAGATCTGAGGATCGTGGTTCAAAGCCAGCCCGGGCAGGAAAGTCCATGAGACTCTTATCTCCAGTAAGCCACTAGAAAACTGGAAGTGGCGCTGTGGCTCAAGCAGTAGAGCACTCGCCTTGAGCTGAAGAGCACAGGAACAGTGCCTAGACCGACAAAAAAAAATCATGACCCCCGCCCCCCACTTTTAAGATTGCTGACACCCAATCAGAAGGCCAAACCAAAGCATCCAAAGGTAGCAGGAGCAACTCGGGCTGAGGTAACAGAGACCATTAAGTGAGATTACAACAAAAACCCCTGTAAGTCTAGGGAAAGATAGGGACCCCAAAGTACAGGACATGTTTAGATTCTTAAGTAGGTTTGGAAAAGAACTCAGGCAATGCAGTTGAAGTGCCAAGAATGCCACATGTGGTAGTGGACGCCTGTACTGCCAGCTGGCAGGATAACAGTTTGAAGCTGGACACAGGTGAAACATCGGTAAGAAAAACTCCAGAAGCAAAGAATGGCTGGGGGTTCAAACCCCAGTGCCACAGACAAACAGGATACCAAACAGCATATTGAAAGCCTTAAGAAGCACCAAGTTACAGATAAAGACAAACTCAATAGTTACGTCGCATCTCTCAGCAGAAACACTTAATCTAGGAAAGCATGAAATGACACATTTCAAGCCCCGTGAATAAATAACTGCCAATCACGATTACCCTGCAGTCTTGTTCTTTAAAATCAGTGGAGACATGCTAAGGTAAGTACAAACTAAAGAAATGCATGACTACTAAGCATTACAGATGATACTTAGAGAAAAAAGTCGTATCTGAGTAAAGAACAAAATCACAACAAATGAATAAGTGAGAATCAGGAAGGAATCAAATGCACATTCTAATAAGCAAACTTCTAGGAAACGAGAGAGAAAAAGAATTAGCTTTTGGGTCAAACAAGAAGATACTAATAAAACAGGAATTGTAGATACCTCTCAACAATAACCTTCCATGTAAGTGGTCTGCACTCCCTAGTTAAAAGATGCCTGGCTAGTGGAGTTCAAAACACAAGATTCTAGTGCTCCTCGGCTGCAACACGAATGCCTCACTAGCAAAGATCCACAGATATTAAAGGTGAAAGATGCAGGTACATTATAATGGCTCATGCCTATAATCCTGACCACTCAGGAGGCTGAGATCTGAAGATCGCGGTTTAGAGACAGCCTCAGCAGAAAGGTCTGTGAGGCAAGACTTATTTCCAATTAAGCAGCAAAAAAGCTGGACTGGAGGTGTGGCTCAAGTGATAGAGTACCATCTAAGAGTGAAAACAAGGAGTGAGAACAGGAGGCCCTGGGTTCAAAATTAAACAGGAAAGCCTGGCAAATGACATACTGAGGAAATGGAATCTGAAATCAGGAGTAGGCACGCTCATTTCTGACAAAGTAGACATGACAAAGTTAAAAATACAGAGGAGGTCACTACATAAAACAATCCATCAGAAAGATTAAATGATTACACGTGCACTGAGTGTCAGTACACGCGTTTCAGCAAACACTGCTGGACTAGACAGGTAGGTCCAGACATGCTAACAGTGGGATGTTTCAGTGACTGCCTGTTATCAACAACGGGAACGTCCAGAAAGAAAAGCACGGAGTTAAATTGCACCGTAGGTCAAATGGACACCTGCAGAGTATTCAATGCCTGGGGACTGCACATTGTTCTCAGTCCAAGGAGCTTTACTGCACAGACACATGGTAGCCCATAAAGTAAATCTTAATTTAAAAAATTATTTTTACTTATTCTAATGGAATAAGACTGGAAATGAGCAGCAAGTGAGACTACAGAAAATAAACAGATTGAAAAGTAGATTTGGATGATCATTAGGTCTTTGAAACCCTCTTAGAATCAAACACAAATGAAAACAACCTATCAGAACCTACGGGATACAGCAAACGTCACTGTCAGAGGTAAGTTTATATATACGAGTGCTACATTAAAAAAAATGTCAGGCAACCAAATAAAATGCACCTCAGGTACATTAAAAAAAAAAAAGGCAAACCCTAAAGACTTACAATATGTTACAAAGTGGTAGCAAAATCAGCATTGTGCTAGCACAAAGGATCCAAGGACCAATGCAATACAATAGAAGTTCTAGAAAAAACCCTGCACAGGCCTGTGATTATTGACAAGTGTAACCAAAACAAAATACTGTGGCTAAAAGCCTCTCACAAGTGAAGTTGGACATCCCAGTCCTTGCTGTGTACGCAAGTGAGCTCACAGTGAAGCCTCATACTACAGGTTGTACAACTCAAAATACTGTGTGGTGGGATTGGTTCCATTACAAAAGGTCCAGCTTAGCTCTTTGGATCTTGTTTCACATGCACTACGGGGTGGTACGGAAGGAGGCCCTGCCAGCCCCAGACTGCTCAGTTCTCAGATCTATAAGGAAACAAATTTCTGTTTTTTATAAGTCACCTAGCCGGTGGTGGTCTGTTATAGCAACCCAAACCGAGTATGCTTTGACCTTGTGTTAGGGTTTAGCAGAACTAATACCAGTATTACAGAAAAGACATTTATTACAGTAGCTAGACCTTACCTGATGATGAGTGCAACTGAAAAAGTGAAAGATCATAAGGGGAGCAGAGGATCAGAAAGTCAGTTGCTCTTCTTGAAGCTCTGGTATGTGTTGATTTGGTGGCTTCCTATAGAAAATGGCTGATCAATCTCAGGGCAGATAGTTCAGTTATATGGACAGAAATACTGATATTCTCTTCATGTAGTTTGCAGGTTCAGCTGATCTTTTATTTTGATAACTGGTTAATGTTCATCTAAAGTTCTGGAAAGTTTTTGGTTGCTGTTATCTCCTTAAGGATGTAGTATAGTGCTTAGTCCAGAATGTTCATGTATCGCTGCCAAATTAATAAGCAACTAAGGAATGGAATGATTTCTAAAGAGGCTTAGTTCTTGTGTTTAAAGTATTTTGACATTTGTGTAGTGAAGGAATAGTTTAGGATGATTTAGCATGCAATAGAATGAAAAACCAAAGATATAGTTATCCAAAAGAAATCCTTTTCTGTATTGTAGTCCTTTTTTGTACCCAAGGTGAAGGTACAGAAGAGATCTATTATCCAGGATTAAACAGATGGGCTGTCTTTCCCCGTCTCATGAGATGCAAGTTTTGCTCTGTGTTTTTGCTCTCTAGTTCTTTCAAGAAGACAATTTCTTGGGCTTTTACTCTTGAAGATGTTTAACATCTGTAAGAGAACAGCAGAACTTGGATTTCTCTAAAATGGTTGGAGACATACATTGTTTACTTAAATTTTTTTTATTGTGAAAGTACGGTATAGAGGGGTTACAATTACATGGGCAAGGTAATGAGAGCATTTCTTATCAAGCATTGTTGCCTCCTCCTTTGTTTCCCTTTACTTTAAAAATATTTTTAAGTAGAGCTTCACTATGTAGACCAGTCTGGCCTTAAGACTGAAATTCTAGTGCTTTTGCCCCTGAGTTCTGGGATTACAGGTGTGTAACTGAACAGAAAGGAAGCAATAACAAAGCCTGGGCTGGCTTTGAATGGTGAGTCTCAGATCTCTGCCTTCTGAGTAGCCAGGAGTACAGGCGTGAGCCACTGGCACCCGGCATAAGTAATATTTTAGATTAGTCTACACGTCTCAGTCCTTGCGATGTAGGTGATAAGCCCCCAATTTGTCCCTTCAGAAGCTGTGTCACGGCGACATCCTGTTTGAGGTTAGATGCAGTTTTCCCTGTTGAATGCATATGTTCTCAACCTGTGGTGAATCTGTCAGATGTGCATCAAAGCTCCTCTTAACCTACTTCAGTTTATTATCTCCAGGATGTAATTCAGAGATAGGAGCACAGTGTATGTTGACAAGGCCTTCTGCAGAGAAGCTGTTCCGGTTAACTTGCTGATTCTCAGAGCAGGCGCCCTGTGTAGTGCATAATTCAGGTAAGACAGCAGCAAGGGACCTGACTGACCAACGATTCAGGGAGGAAGTCTTGCTGGAGCAAAAATATTCTATGTAAAATGTATGACATTCTTAATGCTCATATTTAATATTTCATAAACCCAGTCCTGGGGGTGAATCTTTGAAACACAAGTTCGGCCACCTGACTGGCATTTCTGAATGCCATAATTAGAGCTGTCAGAACAATCTCTTTTAAAATAGAACAAGCAGGAGCTTGAGTGCTTGTTGTCTAGAGCTGCACCAGCATTCCCTGATGTGAATACAGAGTCTTCCCCCAAAGGGAAATCTAAAAATACACTTTGTGGTTGTGAGTGCAGCCCTGCATGTAACGTGAGCACACAGGGGCACGTGCGTGCCAGAGGAAGTGACAATTCTCAAGGCTGAAGTGGAGACCTTTTAAATTATTTACAAGTTTATAAATAAGTAGGTGTAGTCAAAATCCCGCGAAGAAACCTAGGAAAACATTTCAGAAACGATCTTATGGAATAAAGAAACCACAAAATGTTTTTGTAATGTGGAAGATTAAAATTGGGT